ACACACACACACGGGAAACTTCCGCAGCAAGAAAATGTTTTATTAATTTTTTTTTCTCCCTCCTCATCTACTTCCCGGATATAAAATTGAGGGATAAGGAGATGATGAATGTCATTGATGGGAGGAATCTCCATCGCGTATCCTCTTGCTATGAGGGAGAAAATGTGATGTCTAAGTTTCTACCACTTGTCCAATTTTGTTGGCAAATAGTTGTCAAGTAAATGCCACCTTTGGTATGTTGAATTTCATTTTGAGTGGAGACATGGCTAGAGGAAGGAGCAGCCTTCATGGAACGCCCTCCACGAGAACACATGAAGCTACAATGATCAAAGGCTGCACCACCGTCATAGTGATGGCACGATTTCATGACGGTCACTATGAAAAGTTATCTGTAGTGAGAGGTTGAAGGTGTGGGAAAGGCTGGAGACCTCAATATGTTGTCATTACTGATCTGTGCGTGGAAGAGACAAACTCCCAACCCAAAGACAAATAATTTTACGGAGAAAAAAAACAACATTTTCCTCAATTACTGGTCCAGTGGACGGATGGGGATGAATCAGGTGTGCGCCAATGCTTCGGGTGATTACAGTGACAACTATGACAAGAAAAGTGAAGTTAAACGAGAAACAAAACACTTGGCTGTTGCACTCACCAGTCAAAATGCCAAGTCAACAACTTCGAGTGGACAGAAAGGTGAATGTTACTACTCCGCTCTCCAACTGTGCATCGGTAAAGTGACTACTTACAGCCTCAGACATCGTCAATGTCTTCTCACCTCAACATCTCAATTCCCTAATGGCTAAACAGAAGAGAAGTCCGTTGGGTGGGTTTGAAGACCCCATCTAACTGCAGGCGAAGTAAACGAGGTTCAGAGAGGCCACCAAGGACTGCATCATCATCAACTGACCTGTGATTGGGCATTGACAATAGCACCATTTTCAATCAACACTTTGGCCACTTCAAATTGACCAGCCAAACTGGCGATGTGAAGTGCAGTATTGCCTTTGTGGGTTGGCTGATTGACATCGATGTGACGACGCAGGAGTTCTCGCACAATTTCCACATGACCCTCCTTGGAGGCCAGATGGAGGGCATTCAGTCCACTCTGTAGAACAAATGAACAACAGTGTACCAAAGTGCTCGATAGGAATGGACATTTGTGGAGTAGGAAGAGCTAATGTTGACCTCAAGACTGATCAACGCTACTCAATGCCTCCGACTTAGGTGAGAAGTCGCATTGTGGAAGACAATCTTAAACGTTAATGCCGCCTGTGACTTAGGATGTGAAATTTGAAGCCAAATTGATGATAAGGAGAAGAAAAAGGGAATTGTAAGCCATAAATCCCTTCGACAAATTCATCCACCCTTTAATTCTTTGCAAGGTGAAGCACAAAACTTCCCCACTGCCCTATTCATAGTCACAACAACAGCAATAACTTCTTTGTTGGACCTCGAAAACCGCATACCTAATTTACAATCTAGCAAAGCTTGCAAACATTAAAACCCTCGCTTCGCCCCAGTCCAGTGCATTAGAGGGAACAAGAAAGAGGGCGACTAAAGTGCAGGAAAGGCTTCGATGACAGGCTAAATCTTGTCCGCCTCTGCCCACCCCCACCTCCACGCTATGGCATCAATTTACCAACTATTTTCTCTAACAAATCGCATTCATTATGAATGGCAATAGACTGGATGAGTTTATTTTACTGAATCGCCTGTCTAGGAAAGCCACATAACAAAACAAAATGTTGTGCATGCCAAATTGACGACCACTTTAACCACCGCCATTTTGGTCAGGGGAGGACTGATGCGTGTGGGTGTGTTGGAGGAACATTTTGAGTGAACAATCGACTCCAACACAATTTCCCTAGGCCAAGGGAAACCATAACGATGGACCCTTAAGGAAGACCGTTGAGGTAACAATCCGATAGACGTGGTGAGAGTGATGACGATGACGCAGGTCAGCAAAAGTGAGTGTTATTGTGAGGTCAAAAGAAGGCTTTATTTGGACTGTAGGCAAGAGGACACTCTCATCAGGTGATGATGTGCAGTGACCTCTTGTGTTGCTCGATGCGTATGCCTTTCGACACACGGAGAGAGCAAACAAAATGCCACTAATACAACATGCATTGTCAACTCTCACGATGAAGGTGAGCCGTGGAAAAGTGTAACTCCTCTTTATTCCTGCCTTTTATACCACACTCAACTCAAGTAAGCAGTCGAATGTGCTACTGCAGAACAATGGAAAAGAGAAGGCGCTGAAAACTCGCCTCGTGGAAGGAATGAGGCCAAGTGGTTAGCATTTTGTGGATTAATTTGTCTTACTTCAAGCCTATTTCAATAAGTAACTGCGTTGTTAGGCAATTCGTGTGTCGACATGTGATGACAAGGTGTGCCCATGCGTGTATTTGCACTTCACAGTTCACTTTTGATCACTCAAATCATCAAACATACAAACCTGCAAAACTCACTTTTCTATTTTTCTCTGTGTAGTGCGTATTACAGATAAAAATGGCTTTCATTTTTCTTTTCAAAGTGCTCACATGTGTGTACACATTCCATCGGGCTGAAATGGGAGAGTAAGCAAATCTAGCCCTTGACCATAAGTCCACTTCATTTCCTCTGCTATAATTCGACGGGAAGGAGGAGGAGGAGGAGGAGATTGAAGGAGGAGGATAAGAAAAAGAAGCAGAGAGGAGGAGACGGAGGATGGAGGAAGAGGGGAGAGAGAGAGGGGAAGAAGAATAAGGAGGAAGAGGAAAGGGGGAGGAGAAGGAGGAGAGGAAGGAAAAAGAAGGGATGAGGAGTAGGAGGAGGAGCAGAAGAAGACGTAGAAGGAGGGAGGAGAGGAGGAAAAAAAGGAGAGAAGAGCAGGAGGGGAGAACAGACGAGGGGGAAGGAAGGAGGAGGAGGAGGAGGAGGACTGTTGCATTGGCAGCAATCGATCACTCGCGAAGTGGAAGTCTCCTGAGAAACAAAATCGAACGACAAACAACAATGCCATGCACAGATTTTTCTTTGCTGTATGAAAAGCATTTCTGTGGAATGGAATTTATGCCTCCCCCCCCTACCTTGCAAAACAATAAACTTGGACTGCACCAGCAATTACGCCTCTGTGTATAGCAAAGAAAACTTTCCAAAGTTCCTTCACAGCACATTTTTCGTTCTCTTCATTAAAACACAATAATTTCACCCATTAAAATGTCTACGGACGAAAAGAACGACGATTGAATGCTCCTCTTCGAATGTTGAGGCCTTTGAACAGTCAAAGATCGCCACAACTCCAACAAACAGACCTTCACAACTCTCAAGTGAACTTTAATGCCCAACTCATCCCATTTGATCAAATTTTTTGGGCAAATCTCCACCCCTTCACCGAGACACACACTTCAACTTCAAAGTGGTGCAAAGGAGAGACCACAAAGTGATAAAATTTTTTCATCCGTCTCTTGAGGGAGGGAGGGAGGTGGACGAAACTTTTACCTCAAATCACATCACTTGCAAACTGTTACCCACCAGTAGAACAGCAGTTCGCAGTAACTGGAAAAAAAACACACCACCCAAAGCACCCACACATGCAATGCAAAAAGGGTGGTTGTGTGGATTGTCCACTCCAATCTGTACATTGACAAAGTGTGGCAGCAAATTGTGAATTCACCCTTCACAACTCCTCACTCCACACTGTGCTTTGGGATGTGCAGTAGAAGCGCAGCGCATTACCACAGGTGAAAGCGAATGCCTCTTTTCCACGTGAAGTGGAAAAATGGAGGTGGAGGAAAAACACCTCTCTTTTTCTCCCCTCCCCCGCAGTATCAACACAATTGACCTAAGTGGTCTCACAAATTTTTCAATGTTGGCACACTCGACAAGATTCGGACTGTACACATCGTACAATTCTAACCTCCAATGCTTCCTTTTTACAAGAGACTTCAAACAAAGGAGGCGCTAAACTTGTCCATGATGTCATCATGTACTTGAAGGGAAGATTAATGTTATACGGCTAATTGGTGAGGTGGAGATGAATTGAAAACTTCAAGCCTGTCACACACACACACACACACGTCGCACTTGGTAACCCCGGGGCTTGGTGAGGTACACACAACCTCCACACCTCTCCAACCTCCTCAAATGCTCCATCTTGGATTAACAAGAACACAAAATCAACTTTCCTTCTTGGTCTGCGGTAATAAAGCGGTTAAGCCGAGAGTCATGCTTGCATTAGCTTACATGCAATTTTTAGTGTCTAGAGACGACCACATGAGCAGAAAACCATATCCGAGGGAAGGGAAGGGGAGAGAGGCATTACAATTTGGGTACAGCCATCGAAAGTGTGTTTTGCTTATGCTTTGCAATCACATCGCGTTGTGATGTCATGTAAAGCAATGAGCCTATCAGACTTAAGGGGATTTTCAAAGAGCCTTCCGGTTTCCGCCTCTCTCCACATGTACCACCACCAGCACTAACTTCCGTGAAAGGCGATGGATAAGAAACCTACAATCCAAATGCCGCAGGCGCGGCAAAAAAAAAAGAAGGAACAAAAGCACTCAGAAGGCGGAGCTCTCATGCATAAAATATTTGCCCCGACCAAGAGACGACTAACTGTTGAGCTGACTCAGCATTGGGGAGGGAGAATTCATCAATCCATCCACTAGAATGCGAAGTAGGAAGATGTAAAGGGTAGCCACTCCTGGCTACTTCACCAAAAGACACTTCAAAGACGTGCACTAATATACACTTGTATGAACTGGTGCAGTTTTCAACCTCCTTTTCCCCTTCCCCCCCCCACCCCCCAACAGCTAGGAGGATGCCATGAGGGCCACTTTTCTATGTCGTAGCCATGTTATAAGGCTGCACGAGGTCACATCAATTGAAAACACAAAGGTCGATGCGATAAACTACGTTCACTTTTGGACAGCACAAGTTTGGCAATGGCCATAGGCTCCCTCTCAACACGAATCCAGTGTGAATGCGCCATCGTGGCTAGAGAAAGAGAAACAGAAGAACTGGGAAGGTTAATTCAGTTTAGAATGAATGAATGCAGAGTTTGCAATTCCTAGATGGCCTACTGAACAATGAAGTAGAGATAAATAAGTAAATTTGAATTGACAAGCTGATTGTCCACAAAAAAAAACGTTTAGGCATGCACTGTGGGAGAAAGGATAGGTGGAAGAGAGGCAAATTGAAGTGTAGAACTGCGAAATTTACGACCTTTTAGATGATTCACATTGGGTGAGAATTTTGCTATTGATGGCATGAAAACAGAAAAATCTGACACATTGGAGGAGTTTCACTGGGTAGGGGAGAGGTATTCTAAATGCTACGGCCAAAACTCCCACCTCCGTGAAGTCCTCCACACGTATTTGATGGGAAAAGTGCACCACAATGACGTGATGGAAAGAAAATTGTCAAGTGAATGCCACCTCAGAAGGCGCACAACTCATGAGAAATGCGTTCGTTGAGGTCGTGAGAGACACCTTCCGCAAGCATAAAAGGCGATTTGTAAGAGGACAATTTTAAACTGACCGACTGAATCAAGTAAAAAAGTGGTTCAAGCACCTATATGAGGTCATCAAACGGAGGGCAACACCACAACCTTCCAACTTTGACTGCATAGTCCAAGCGGGCGTCAAAAGGGTAATTAAGCTTGATGGCCATGCTAAGTGATGCCACATGCGAGAAGAGGGCTAATGATTCCAGGATCACATTGCTTTTCTAGGCAGAAAGGCCAATAGGCTCAAGGCTGTCGTCGCCTGGTAGTACTAACAACAACTCAACGCGTTTGATAAGACGAAATATAGGCGGTTCAGAGCTATCGATAAAGGCAAACACAATCGCTGTGCAAAACAGAAGATTGTAAAGAACCAAGTAGTTTTAAAAGTGTAGAAGATAAGAATGTTTCACAAGGTACCACCAGAAAGAAGTGAATTGGGGTAAAAAATACACCTGCTTGCCTAACTTCCAAAACAAATTGCAAGCTAGAAGCAAATAAACGCGCAAAATTGCGTTCCATTGGACAATAGCAGTCCTTATCAAATAAAACTGATTGTACACTCACCGCATTGCACGTGTTAATATCTATTCCATGAATGGCAATTGCATCGATGAGTTTGGAAAGGTTGCCAGCGCGTGCTGCACGCAAAATTGATTGACTTGTTTCAGACTAACAACGAGAGCAAGAAAATTGTCTTAGATGCAATATAAAAGCAAAAGGAATAAGAGATAGAAACGATCCATCTGGACCACGTATTCGATGGAAAAACGGAGTAGAATAGTTGTAAGTTAGTGCGCTACGTCGCAATCAACAGACCAATGTGTCCAAAATTCGCGCAAGTAAACAAAAAAACAAAATAAAATACTAAATCTTTCAGTTTTTATGACTTTAGCAATATTCATTTATAATGCAAACTAAATTATGCAATCCTACAAGGGAATCTACTAGATTCGATGTCAAAAAAATTCATATTTTTTAAAAAGAAAAAGGGAAGCAATTAGCAATTAAATTAACAATATCGTCTTAAAATATGCGTACTTTACGACTGGAAGAGGTAGAGGTTATGTTAGGAGAAGCGTATTCCTGAGACACCGCCATCTCGGCGATTCCACCCTCAGACCGCTTCCGACGCTAACCGACTTGGGCGCCAAAATGCCGTTTCAAGGACACAACAAATTTTTTGTTGATGATGCTGTTAAAAGATAGATATCAACAGAACTAAACAACAACAAAAAGCAACAACAACAACAAAAATAATTAAAAAAGCACATGCATACTTTACAAATATTAACAAGCAATGCAAGGTCAATAAGGTAACGTAAAAATACTTAAATTCTGTGTGAGGACTGAAAGCACATTTTCATTTTGAATCTTATGAAAACTACCCTTTATTTGAGACTCAATGCTTCTTCGTTTAGTTAATTTATGGATGAACAAAAGCGTTCATGTTTAAAGCATATTTTTTGTAAAAATTACATTTTGACGAAATTTACCCACATTTGGTTGATTTTCTGAGAAGGCATCTTACAACCACGATGTTTACAAGCGCTTACGTAAACTTTCAATTTTGTCTCTTAAATGCAATTTTCTTAACAAAATTTATCTTGCATTGAAATTTTGATGCAGCTGAATGCAAATCTATGTTCAGAATTTCTTTGCAGTTGATCACTATTAATTTCATTTCCCCATATTTTGGATTCTGTTTCCTAATGCACCAGCGCTGGAATCGTCCACGTGCGCATGGATTCATTTATACTAGTTTACAGGCGCCATTTCATTGACATTCAGTTCCTTACATAGCTAATACTAGTAAGGAAGAACACTAATTGCTGGGCAAACTTGAGACTTTGGTAACCACCACATTGTTTTCTCAAAGTGACAACCTGACATTTGGCGGTCACTTTAAGATTCTTCTGGTCTTTTTACATGTCTAGTCACTTTATTCTCTTTAGAATGCATGAATCCATCCCTACTTACTGCCTTCTTCCACCCGGTGGAAATGTCGGAGCACTACGCGCTAATAAATATTTGAAAGTTTTTTTGAATTCAGACCAAAATCTCCCGATTCGACGGCTTTGAGCGAAGGACTTATTTGTCGACCGCGTTTGATTCCTCCACTAGCTTACCTTAAAAACAAAAGCAATAACAACCTACATGTTTTCTATCAACCTTAATAATTCGCCTACAAAAACGGTCGATCAACACACAAATAAACATGAAGTATTATTAGTTCAAAAAAACTTTCCGATGGAACCGGTCTATGTATAAAACGAAACTCTAGCTAAAGACGTTTAATTAATTTGCAAGCGTTAAAGTGCAGACACAAATCTAACCTGTGTTTGAAACAACTTGTACATTTCCGTCTGTTTGCTCAAAGTTACTATCGGGTCAGTAAATCGGTGTCTTATTTATTCCTAATGGCTAATTATGGCTAGTGTAAA